AKGAGCTGCTTCTGTGGAGGCATCACAGCTCAGTGGAACACAGGATGAATATGATGAGACTTGGGAGAAGTGTAAAACCATGTCCCCAGTGCCATCGCAGCAGAACCGCATGGATGGGGCTGGGCTGTGTAGGAAGTTTGTGCCAGGACCACTTCCACCTCCTTGCTCTACTGGAGAGGCTGTGGGAGGAAGGCGGTGAGGTTATGAGAGGCCTCTTTGGATTCGTTTCTCCTGGAAGTCAGATTATAAATTTCTGCAGAGYTGGCACAGTTTCTAGGCTGAGCCTCCAAGGCAGCGTTGAGCTACAACCAGTTTTTGGGTGTTCTGTGACCAGTGACTGCTGCAGCAGCAGTGAGAGCAAATGTTGAGAGCCAGCTGATCTTGGCTGTGTCTAAGCCAACTTCTGCGTCATTCCCACCCATCGCAGTGTGTTTGGGTCTGTGCCTCTTCTCCCTGTTAARGACAGAGCCTCTCACTGGTTTTGTTCCATGCTTCTCTCCCTTTGCCCTGTTGTGTGATCAGATGGGATACTCCTGAGCAGAGAACACCACCGGGGAGCAGGGGCCGGTCTTGTGCAGGGTGGAAAAGGAAGAATGCAGACACAGTGGGGAGAGTGGGTGCTCCTGGCACCAGCATAAATGGGAGATGCACCCACACGTGGTGCTGGCCACAGTTAGTGCCTCGTGCGCTCACAGCGTGGTTCCTCCATTCAGCCTGGCTTCCTCTGCTTCCTTCTCACTGGCTGAGCTTGAAAAATGGTGGAGAGAATTTTTTTTTTTTTAAAGTAGTAATGATTAATTCTTGCTTAATTGCTTTGTATGTTCAGCTTTTTCTGCCTTATTGATGCTGATCTGTGCATCAGGATAATGGGCTGGTCTTGCTGTGCTCCCTGGGTAAAACTCACTCATACCAGCTTTGCTTAAAGGTAATGCAGCAGGGCAGATGAAGAAAGTAGGGAGCTGTTGAAATATGGCTTGGCAGCCCCAAAAAGCCAACTGTGTCCTGGGTCACAGCAAAAGAAGTGTGGTCMGGAGGCTGAGGGAGGTGATTCTGCCCCTTTGCTCTTGCGAGACCACACCTGCAATGCTGCATTCAGCTCTAGGGTCCCCAGCATACAAAGGATCAGCTGAAGTGAGCCAAGGAGGGCACAAAGATAATCAGAGAGCTGGAGCACGTCTCCTSTGAAGACAGGCTGAGAGAGTTGGGGCTGCTCAGTCTGAGAAAGGAAWGGCTCTGAGGACACCTTAGAGCCCTTCTGGTACAGAAAGGCCTRCGAGAGAGCTGGAGAAGGACTTWTCACAGGGGTATGTTGTGATGGACAAGGGGGAATGATCTTAAGCCGAAGGAGGGTAGGTTCAGATTTCACATTAGGAAGAAATTCTTTGCTATAAGGGTGGTGAGGCACTGGAACAGGATACCCAGAAAAGCTGTGGATGTCCTGTCCCTGGACGTGTTTAAGGCCAGGTTAGACGGGCCTTCAAGGAATGTGGTCTAGAGAGAKATGTCCCTGCACCCACAGCAGGGTTGTTGGAACTGGGKGATTTKTAAGGTTTCTTCCAACCCAAATCATCCTATGATGTACTGCCCCATCTGATGCTGCAGCTGGTGTGGGGAGCACTGGTGGCTTCATGTCCTGCTGCCACTGCACAGTCCCAATCTGCATGCAAGGCAGGCCCCCTCAAGTCACATGAAATCAAGATGGGCATCCTTATCCTCACCCTTCTGCCCTGCCTGCACTTTGTCTTCCAGTTCTAGACATGGGTGTTCCCTTCTGCCATGCAGCTTCCCTCTGGCTGTGTGATCCTCATCCCTGTTCCTAAGCAGGGCTGTGCAAGCAGGACCATTTCTTGCCTTATTCCTGTGTTCTCTGTCCCAGGTRGGTATTATGGGTCATAGGCTGCCTCGCTGAGTAATTGCAGAGCATTCAGCAGTAAGAGGGGTCAAGGCAYCTGCAGTGCTCCTGATTGGTACTGAGAAAGAGGTGGCTTCGTTCAAAATTGTTTTGCAGAGGCATCTCTAGGAAGGTGCATTTGTGGGATGGTGTATTTTTAGAGAATCTTATTGTGTCCCTCAGGTGTGTGTGTAGTGCTCCATTTGCTGCAGCATAGAAGAGACATGGAGTTGGTTATAGCTCCATCTCCTCACTAGTTTCCGTTTGCTGGCAAACCTCTGGAGTCACAGCATGAATRCTGATCCCACTTGATTTAATCAGGAGCTGCTCTTAACTGCAGCAGCTGTTTTGTGCTGTGCAGGAAGCGTTTCAAGAGAAGAAACTCACTGCTGAGGCTGAGGCTGGGGTCTCCCACTGCCCAGCTGCTCCTGTGCTCTGGGTGTAGCTGTTCTTTACCATCAGTTTTGTGCTCTGTCTGGGGTTCAGCTCAGAGCTTGCAGCACCTGGGCAGGGCACATGTGGGGAGCCTTAGCACCACTATTTGCTGTGACAGTGTCCCTGAAGTCAGGCCAACTCTGAGACAAAATCTCCAGGTACAGCTCTTACAGTAAAACAATAACAGTCTCCTCTTCCCAAGCCAAGAAGACAAGGCCTGGGCATTGTTTTTGAGAAATGTAGGAAGAAAAAAAAATAAAATAGTTGTATTTATTTTCAATAACTCATTCAGGTTGAACGGGTAAGTAGTTTTATAGTGCTGATTTATGGGCTGTTGCAAAATGCAAGAGCTGCTCATGATTGCAAATTACATTGATCTTGACTCCAAGAATTTCAGTACTGTAATGTTTTATATAGTTTTCTCTCTCCTCAGTCCTGCCATTTGAAGTAATAAGGATGATTTGCCTTTATGCAGCCCAAGAGGAGACACGAGTCAGGTGCTGGGAAGAGCACCCGGCCATCCTGATTTATAAACCCAGGTCTGCTCCTTTCAGAGGGGAAGCCTTTCTGTACAGAAAAAATGCCCTGTCTCCATGAGTAACAATCTGTGCTTTATCATGCACTTAGCAGGCAGTCTCTGCAGGCTCGTTTGTCTCATTCCCACTCTGAGGACACTTGACCATGCCTTATCCATGGCCCCACCAGCATAGAGCAGTGAGCTGGTTCCAGTTGCCCTTGATCATGGTGGTGGCTGGTTACTATGCCCCTTCCCATGGTGCAAGGCTTCCAACAGTGGTTTGGGCTTTCAAAATGAGCYGTGGCACTGGCTGGTAGTGGCCATRGTGTGTGATGCTGTGCAGTTTTGAAAGATCTGTATGTTTTTAGATGACGAGCACTCTCCAGCCATTTGGGTTTGGGGTTTCTTTGCGCAAATACTTGTGATCTGGGTAACTTCACTGCTTCTTCCTAGCCTAATTCCTTCTCTTCCTCCAGAAGTAACACTCTGTCATATGGGTGTTTGGCATACTGCAGGAGGAGCAGTGCAGCTTGCATTTACATTTATGTGTAAACCCGCCAGAAAACATTTCTATTCTTACTGGCCCAGATTCCTCCTGCCCATGACTAACCATTGCTGAGCCACAGGAGTTAGAATGACTGTATTTAAGTGCAGCAGGCTTGTCTTCTCAAAGGTTTATCTCTGCTTTTTTTAAAAAGTTAAGTATGAATTTGGGGGCAAGCTACATCCCACTGTCTATTTAGGAAAGAATAAATGCCAGAAATCCTGCTTTGGGCCTGTGAAGTCAGTTCAGAACAATTCAGAATTGGGTGCAAAGAACATATTGTATTCTGTTTCTCCTCTCAGTCTGAGTCCTTCTAATATCTGCAAATGGGAGAGGCTTTGCAGTGTCGTCTCTGGTGAGCCTGTGATGTGCTGAGACAYTGCTCCCAAGGACCGCTGCAGGCAGCACACCCCTCTCCTGTTTGACTCATTTTGGGCTCTCAGACGTCAGGCTGCCCTAGCAAATGCCTCCCAGCAGCTACAAGAGAGGCACTGGGAAGTGTGCCATGCTGTGCTCTGCCTYGTCAGCGTGGGGAGACAGGAGGTGCAGTGACAGCAGCCTCTCCGTGTGTCTCCRTTGGCTCCCACAGTGCAGGTTGCTCTCAGGTTTGCTGACACCCCAGCACTGGGCTTTGCTTGCACCGAGTCCCCCCCTGCCTGGACATCCTGGTGGGTAGGAGGAGTGGAGTGGAGTCCCTGGAATAGAAATGGCTTTGGACTGTGCTTTTTGTCATGAAACTGTTTGCTAATTATGAGAATATTTTATCTTATTTTTTAAGTCATTAAAGAAAAAGGCTCTGTACAGTTTTTTCTCATGCTGGTCGGTTTCTGCATCAGTCCAGATCTGCTGTGAGCCACACTGAACCTGTTGTTGAACTGTGCTTGGGGTTTGCACCTGGGCACTGCCTGCAAACACAAGAACCTGCTGCTACCTCCTGCATAGTGTCCCTTCTGTCCGTCAGCCTCTGTTCTTAAACTTCACTGTCAATAGTCTCTCTGTGTCACTTATTAGTGCTTGTATTCATTATGTCATCCTAGTGGGCACAGGTGTCACATGAATCCATCACAAGAAAGACAGTCTTGACTTCTGGAACACACAGTCCAGCTTCTTCTGGCAGGGGCAGTGACCCACAGCTCTGAGGGAGGGTTGATGCTTGTGGTTTTTGTTTTTTTTTTTTGTTTTCTATTTCTCCTATTTCAGCACATCTCTTTCCATTTTCCCTATCATTGTGTATGGATGCACACACACCTCTTGCATTTTCATCCGAATTTTATCTTCCCACATAAGATTATTGTGGTAAATTTTCTTGGAGCTCTCTAGGAAGCCTACTTTTATGCAGGAATATCCTATTCTATTGTCCTGATGAAAGATAAATAGCTTGGCAGAAATGTAGGAGGTGTACAAATGAAAACAGAAGTTTCCAGGTTCTCTAGAAATGAACACAATGTTCTTGCTCTGTTTTATAAAAGCCCAGCTTGCTTTCATTGAAAACGCTGTGGTTTTGCCTCTGATTTTGATGGGGACAGGACTAAGGGCTGTGGGGAGCACGGGCAGAAGTGTTTTTCTCCTGCAGACATTTGCAAACTAAGGCACCTTATTCTTCCTGGCTGCAGAACGCTGCGATGATTGGGGTGTGGACACCATGAAGCAGATCCAGATTTATGATGGGGAACCTGCCAAGATCAAATGCCCACTTTTTGAGACCTTCTTGAAGTACAACTACAGCACAGCCCACTCTGCTGGCTTAACCCTGATCTGGTACAGGATTGCGCAGGACCGGGATCTGGAGGARCCCATTAATTATCGTCTCCCAGACAATCACATCAGTAAGGACAAAGACACCCTCTGGTTCTGGCCTGCTCTTCTCAATGACACTGGGAATTACACTTGCATGCTCAGGTAGGTTGTGTGGTGCAGCTTCTGTGCCTCTTCAGTGCAATCAAAGGACTTTTGTGGAAGTGGGGGAATGTTGCTGTTAGCGCCAGATATTCCTTTAGGGAGATGGCCATTTGCATAAGCATTAATGGGAAAAGAATGTTACAATTATAGGAGYGCTCAGTGCTGAGCCAATTTACATGGCAATAATGCTGGGAGCCTTGCAGACGTTAATGAGCRTGCCTCTCCTTGCTGCAAGTGTCCGTGAAAATATTATTGCTGAGCCCATGGCAAAATCCACAGGCGCTCACCATTAAGAAGTGATCTGCATGTCTAGAGTAAAAATAGCTTCAGATGCAGGGGTAATGTTTTGACTGCACGCTAATTTGGCAAAGATTCATGAGATTTAGACTTCTAGGAAATGAAAAGTGTCTCTAAGTGTGGTGCAAAATGAGCATAGCATCTGCTATGCACAAGAGATCTTTTTGATCTTCCTCGCATTGTCTTTTGTCTGTGTCTTTGACCTTATGATCTGCTTTAGCAGCAGGGGAGTGGATGTTGCTTGTTAGTCATCTTTATAGGCTTTTCTGAACTCGTGTGGCCACCTCTGGTGGAGTTTTCTTTCCCATTTTTAAATGAGTCAACTAAGGCCGTACATACCTCATCAGCGCTGTGATGCTCGTTACTGCAGATATAATTTTTATTTCATTTCCACTGCTGTAGAAGTAAACAAGTTTCAACTAATCAGCCTTATTCTCATCCACCCATAGAAACACAACCTACTGCAGCAAAGTTGCCTTTCCCTTGGAGGTTGTTCCAAAAGACCAGCACTCGTGTGTGAGCCATTCCATAAAACCCACTGAGGAGATGTTCTACTTGGAGCACCCCAACCAGAAGATCACGTGTCCAGATATTGATGGGTTTTACCCTGCCAGTGTGACACCGACTGTCAAGTGGTACCTGGTAAGAAGGACTGGCTTGGGCAGCAGGGGGATGCAGTGGTGACTGTGTGTGAAAAAGCAGTGGTTGACACGACAGCTGTGGGGCTGCATTTCAGAGGTTCCCCAGTGACAATGTTGTTAATGAAGCTTTACTAATTGTAAGMGCTCTGCTTCCATTGAGCTCAAGGGTAAAACTGCTCTTGGAAGGGAATTGAGAGCTAACATTAAAACTTTTTTGACCAGCGTGCACAAGTGGAAAATACTCCTAGAAGGGAATTAGGTGTCTCAGTTCAGTTATGGGCAGTGTCCCTGATGCTGTGTGAGCGTCTCACTTCCCTGTAAAGGAAATTGTCATTCATATTCCCTCTTCTGTAAAAAAAACTCCACCTGTTAATGAAAATTGCATCCCCTCCAAAATCCTCTGAGGTCAGGAMGTGAAGTTGTACATCAGGCTCTGCAAGGACAATGGGTGCCCTGTTCAACACAATTCAGCAACCCCCTGTTCTGAAGGCTGAGACATCTCTACCCCACCCTCCATACTTTTCTGATGATTAGACTGTCTCCAGCCATCCTCAGGCTCTTGCCTACAGAATTACTGCTCAATTTTATTAAATTTGATCTCACTCTSTCTCTAGGTGGATGCCTTTAGTCAGTAGAGAATAAGAAGTTTCAGGRGATGTAAAGTCAGAGAGTTATGGGAATAAATTCTTTAATAACTTTCTATAAAGTGCTTTTGTATTTCTAGWTAGAAGATTTTGTAGAAGTAAATTTAATAATAAAAGAAGTTGTCAACAAATGTATCTGCTGATTTAAAAAATAAAATAAAGAAGGCCCTAAAGAAAAATCCCACCTCTGAAACCCATCAGGAAAAACCTCCTCTTGTATCAAGAGGAGGTGTTTCAATCCAGTAGTTTAAATGCTTTACTTGTATCRTTCATTGAAATTCACATCTCGACAATCAATTAGCAGAATGAAACAAAAAGCCCCTTGGAAGTAATTTTTCAGGCAGCAAGTCATCCCATGCCTAATAAAAATCATTAAAAATGGTATATGACCCCTGTGTTAAACTACCCCATTAGGATGTATCTGATTTGGAAATGTACCATTCAAAAATAATCTCTTAGAAAATGTGCACATCTTTGGGTTTTATGATGATCAAGATGTTATCTGCATAACTTCTTTCTGAAAAGGGATCTCCAGCTCAGTATTTTGGCAGTTTTCCTGCCTCGCCTGACAGAAAGAAAGGAGTTATTAAAGATTATGTACTACAGATTCTCATTTGCTATTTTCAAATTCTGGAGCCTCATCCTCAACTGAAGTCAGCCAGGAGAGCTTGATTAGTCCTGAAAGATGGACATCAGYGGGGTACATGTCCTTTAGTCTTAGTATCCATCTGTGAATACATCATCATTTTCTTCTTGTCTCTTTTTACTTTTATTCTGCACTCTGCTGAGGTGCACACTCTGATTGCCAAGGTACTTCTGGATCAGAGATCTCTCCTTTATAAAACTGTGTGTGTTTAAGCTAGGATAAAGCTGTTAGGGTGATCTGTTTCATCACTTCATTTTCAAGGTGAACATAGCACTCTGTATTCCAGCATGCTCAAAGTTCATGGTATTTAGGTCTGACCTACATCATGATCCCAAGAGTCATATTAATAGTTTAAAACCAGATCTTTGTRGCACCATTTAAACCAATATGTGCATTTTTGAATCCCAGACTCAAATGTTTTTTTGCCTGACTGCAGAACTGCACCTCGGTGGATGGCTTCTATGAGCGATACCCCCAAGGGCCCAGGCTTGTCATTGGCATTGTCCGCAGTGCATATAAAGGGAATTACACTTGTATTGTGACATTCAAGGACCATGGAAGAACCTATAATCTCACCAGAACCATAAAGATGAAGGTGGTGGGTAAGAATGACTTTGAAATGTATAAAATGCATGTGGGTAACTGCAGAAGTGGTAAAAACAGCTAGARGAGTTTGTTGCAGGATCAATTTGTGGTTGTATTCAATCTACATTTCCCAACTGACCCGGCATATTTTTTCTTGCTGGAGTCAGACTTGTGTGACTGCCCAGAACATGTTGCAGTAGAGATCTCACCCAGCACCATGTCAAATATCCCAAACACAGAGAGTGGCCAGGCTCGGGCTGGTGAGGTTCAGCCCATGAGAYGGCCAGGGGTACCCTCTGCTGGCATGTGAATGCATAACCCTGGCACTCCTGCTCGCAGTCTCCAGTGCCCTTTGCTCATCATTATTTGTGTGACTGTCACTTTATAAGCAACCTGTCTTGATCTTGGAACCTCAAAGCCATGTGTGCTGGGGTTGAGATTGTTAATCAGCCAGGCAGGGCTCCAGGTACCCACTGCTGGGACACGTCTGTCCCAGACACAAAGGCTCAGCCTACCTGCCAGGAAATGTGGAGTTTAGAAGCCTAGTGAGCTGTAGGATTTGTTCAGAGTTCCATGGAAACAGCTGTTTTAAGAGTTGAAATGAATATTTGTGACAGGAAATKATGTTTGTATTTTGTTTTTTAGAAGCAGCAGTGAAAATACACTGGTGTAGGTTATGCCTTGTGGGAGATGAGAGGGGTATGGAGCTCTTCTGATGTGAGAAGCCCAAACTAGCTTATCCAAACTTTGGAGGAGCCTTAAAATCTTGATCTGGCTCTGAGTTTGGGACTGGGATTAGATTTGGGGACTAGGATTAGATTTGGGGACTAGGATTAGATTTGTCTGTGCATGGAGCTCTGCAGGAATGCATCACAAGTTAGCCTGGGAAATGTGCAGTGCGGCATCGGGAGTGAGGGTGCAAGGATTCCAGGTTTTCATGGAGTGTGGGTCCCCGTGGGGGGCTCTCTGTTGTCTTCTGCAGGATCTCCAAACAAGGCCTTGCCACCACAGTTCACCTCTCCAAATGAGAAAGTTGTGTATGAACTGGAAGCAGGTAAAGTCCAGCACTCACAGCCTGCTTGTGGGATGGGGAAACCCAGCCAGGCACAAAACTCTCCCCTTCCACTGCATCCCTGGAGCTTTCCCTCGCAGAGCACACAAGCTGTCATGAGTTGCCTGGTGCCCAGTGTGGGATGCCAGTTCTCAGTGCCAGGATAGGAGAGCACAGCTTTAAAAGTTGATTTTTTTGCAAGCACAAATAAAGACAGATATTCAGACATGGAGACGTAGAACTGCAGCTGCACAAGCAGATGAAATGGGGACACTCAGCTGCTTAGGAGAATTCCCATAGGACCTAATCTCAGCTCTGACTGTGGTTTGCTCCCACCCTCCCTCATTCATCSCTAGAGTGGCTTCAGCCTTCTGGCCAATTCTTGCTCATCTCTCCCTTTTTTTGGCTGATGACTTCCTAACTAATGACAACTCTCCTTCTGCTGACCTCACAGCATTGGGTAATGGGGTACCACACCCTTTCCCTCACCCCTTCCCCCACACAATCAGTTTTGCCTAATAGCTCTTTGGAGTAATTCCCTATATCAAATGGATTGTGTCCCATTACATTGCTATAATAAACGTGGTGCCAATGATGATGATTAGCACGAGAGTCTTCACTTAAAGAACAGCTCTTTGGGCTCAGAAGGTCAGATTTCATCCATAATCCTCTGTAAGATAAAATCACTTACAGGCTGATCACAAGATAKGCACACTCCTGAATCTGATCTTGAGCAGAAGTCAAACTTCTAAAGAAATATTTCCACAGCAAAATGCTTTTGTGGAGCTTGATCCTTCACTTTATGGCATCTGTCCCCTGTGCAGTGGGGTTGATTAACACTGCCTGGCTATCCAAGGAAGTGGTTGGCATGGAGCATCTCCCTTTGGGTGGGTCTTTTGGTGCAGTCAAGGAATTTGTGACACATTTGAGAAGGCAGGGTATTTTTTTCTATTTGTCTGTCTGTCACAAATCATCATGTCCAGGGATGTTAAACTGTTATTACAGYTTATGTCAGAAAGTGGATGTTGGCCTCATTCCCTCCTGAAGGGAGGCAGAGCTCARGCTGGTTAGATTTTGGACAGTACAAAAGTAGGGCTGGTGCTGTTCCTGCTTTGCAATACCTTTTTTTTTCCCAGGAGATGATGGTCCTTTATTTCCAGGTGATGACCTTATCCTGCCCTGTGAGGTTTTCTTCACCTTCCTGAAGGATTCCCGGACTGAGGTGTGGTGGACCATAGATGGGAAAAGCACAGATGACATCTCRGACCCCAAGATAAAAGTCACACAAAGGTAACACGTATGAACCTTCATTTGTATCTAATCCTCTGGGTCCTGCAGAGGGGTGTGAAGTCTCCCTGGTAATCAGAAGCCCCTGTGTCTGCACCATGCTGTGATGAGCACCAGGAACTCTGACAAGGAGGCCTCCAGACCTGGACAGTGTCATATCTTACAGAGGGATTTGAGGGAGCTTTGTTAACCAGTTCATATTTGTTCAGGTCCTGGTAGTGATGCCAATAGCTGGTGCTGTTGTGGGATTTATAAAACAGGGGCAGACAATTCTATTTAGAGGAGTGTTCCCAAATAGCATAAGGGATAAAAGTGTTTCAGAAAGAGGCTGAAAACAAAAATGTAATATTGCACATAGTATTGATTAGGAAGAATAGAGATTCTGTCACATAAAGAACCCAAATGAAGATCAAAGTCGCATTTACTGGATGCTGAATTACAAGTGGAAGGCAGTCACTGCCCCAGTTGATTTGCAAACCARTGTAGAAAAAGGAAAGGCAAAAGGAAATACTGTATCCCAATTTTGCAGATGGTCAATTTAGGCAGAGAGACAAAGTGACTCATCCAGGATTGCACAGGGAATGTGACGTGAGCTCTGAATCTTGAGTTCATGAGATCTCGTTGTTTATAGGCAAGAACTTCCATTTTCTCCAAAAGGCAATATGGCACAGCTGCAGAGAGAAAATTATGAGTGGTAAAATAAATATTAAGGAAAATCAGATAAAGGAATAGCTGTAGCTATATTAAAATCTGAAGTGTATATCGATTTATAAATATCARTTCATGTGTTTTGGTCTTTTTAAAGAAAGAGGTTAAATCAGGGAAAGGAATACCTGTCACTAAAAACTTGCTGCACTTTCACATGTGTAATGCTCTAGTTTTTCTCTTACAGTGAAATTACCAGAGATTTTGAAGACAAAACTCTCATAAGGACTCTAACAGTTGCAAAAGCCACAGCAGAGGACTTGAAGCGGAATTACACTTGCTATGCCAGGAATGCCAAAGGCGAGGAGCGCAGCCAGGCCGTGGTGCGCCTGAAAGGTACGGTGCCTGCAGAGCAGGGGTGTGTGGAGAGGGGCTCAGGGGGGCTCTGGGTCCTGCCTTCAGCCTTGCCCTGTCAGACAGTAAGGGAGCAAAGAATTCCATCAGGCCTTTTTGCCTAACACAGTCTGTTCTGTAGGCACTGCTGCATTATTCGTGCCATAGTGCACCAGTTCTTGGAGGCAGGGAACAAAGGGCCTTTCCACAGGCAAGAGCCTAGGGACAGAGAGCAGTGGGCACATCTGTTGTTCTGTTGTCCTCATCCCTTCCATGGACCACAACTGAAGCAGGGCTGAGGGGCCAGGCTGCTTGAAATTATTTCAGCTTASTTAATTATGTGAGGGTTCTGCATGACACAACAGCTATGAGTTGGCATCCTCCAGAAGACAGACTGCACCCACTGGCATCGCTCAGGGAGTGAGACAGTCACACCACAATGCTCTGTGGTTTTACTCCGTGCTGTCATCATGCTGCAGTCTAGATACAGCCACCTCAGCATGGATGGTATGGAATGATTCGGCTGTTTTGTGTGGGTTTTTCCTACATCTTTTATTCATCAAAGGTTTTGTACGTGTTTCCCAGACCCAACTCTCAGTAATAAAAGCTGTGTGAGGCTTTCTGATTAAGGGGGATTTTTCTGCCTCCTTATCAACCTCATCTCGAGCTTCAACACCTGCTTTTACTGTAAATCAGACATCCCCTCTCCCACAAAGAATGATGCCATGCCTCGTGTAGCTCATGCCAGACACCTTCTTCACTCTACTCTGCCTTATTAAGCATGGGAAGGCTCACGGGGGTCTTTACTGGARGATCTTTTTCTTCTTGGTACTTGTCCTCCTTTTTTAGTCTTTTTCCTTTGAGACAAACCATTTCTGGATTGTTAGGAAGAAACAATAGACCAAACACATAACTGAGAAAGGCTGAAACCATCTGCCAGTGTGTTCCTACTCCATAAATGTCTTCTGGGGTGATAATATTTGTACATGTAGCAGAAGCGAATCTGATATACTCAGATTCTTTCTCTATATATAAACAGTGCCTAAATGCTGTTTTCTAGTGGATTAATTTGTACTGTCCTCTCTTTTCCTCCCCACATTTGCTCTTGTTTAGTTGACTAGGTTTGCTCTGAGCAGATGTGGTTACCCACCACTCCTCCTTCCTGCTCTGTTGCACAACGAAATCAAAGAACCATCCCTACCTGCTGCTCACAGAACAACGTTAAGCTGAGCTCACTGCAGCCCATCCCACTGCACACCCCATAGGAGCATCAGGCTTGCCCAAACCTAACCCCTCAGCACATAGTTTTCAGTTTTTAGCAAGAGGCTCTATATGTTGGCTCCAACTCTTTCATTATATTAGGTCATATATATTTCTTGTTTTTTTTCTGGATGATTTCCCTCTCCTTCTCATGTGCTTCTGTTGCTCATCACCTAATGAATGTTGATAAATTTCTCCATTTTCAATTTTGTGATTCAGTTTTATTGGAAACTTATTAAATGTTGGAATTTGGTGGTGTTTCCACTCCCTGTTGTTCTTTTATTGTGCAGTTAGCCAGTGTGCATGTCAACTGCCATTAACAGAGTTGCCCRGGGATACAGCTGTAAATTTTCTGTTCTTAGTACAAAGAAGCAGCAGTGGTGTGACAGACAGTATCTGAGTTGGAGGGGGCCTGTGATGTTCTGGCTTGATGCCCACAGATTGTCTTGTTTGTTTGCAAGCATTTCAGCTTTTCTGTAAYGAGCTCTGATTCTTCTTTTATAGTAGAAAAGAGTCAGCCATGGCTWGTTATATTCTGGGAGTCAGTCTGGGACAAGGCCCAAGACCTGTGTCCGACAGGGAGGCAGAGTGGTAACCATTGCCTTTATTTTGCTGCAGATGCTTTATCTGGTTCTCATAGAAGTCAGAGCAGTTGTGTTGCCCCAAGAGTTTGCTGATACTGCTGAGAAGGTCATGTTCATGTTCTGGCTTTGGACTGTGCAGGTTTCTTCCACCAAGCAGTCTTTCCACCTCCTGGCTGCTCCAGGGGCCTTGTTCAGAGACAGAAGTCCAGTCTGTGCTATGGACTTGCTCTGCCAGCATAATGAGATCTAACAACCCAGAATGGGGCTCCAGGGTGCCAACCATCTCATGTCCTGACAGAAAAGCCTTGGCTTGGTCACCTTACTCTGAAACGCCAGCTTGGCTCCTAGCTGTTCCTCTGTGGTGTTTGGCTGCGCATGACACAATCTTGTTTCACTGAAAGCCCAACCTGTTCTTTAAACCTGACCCCTATTTATTTTTGTACTCAGTTGTAGCACCCAAGTACACCGTGGAGCTGGCCTGTGGCCTGGGGGCGACCATCCTGCTCGTTGTGGTRCTCATAGTCGTCTATCACGTGTATTGGCTTGAAATGGTTCTCTTCTATCGGGCTCATTTTGGAACAGATGAAACCATTCTAGGTAAGGCGTTAAAGAGCTTTCATTTATTTTATCCTGCTAYGGGCCAGGCCCTTTGTTTTCATATAAGAATTTTCCTACAAGCTATTTTTAATCTGCTTCACAGCACAATGACMTTTTGACCTTCCACTTCTTTACCCCCATTCAGTTGTGTGGGTCATTGTAGAGCAACAGGAGTCRGGCTTTTGGTTCAGGAGAAAGGAGAAAGAAGTCCTCTGCATTCTCTGCAGGGGTGGACTATGGACATGGCAAGCTCCCTGGAACACTTGCCCTGCTGATCTATTYGTGTCATCCCATCTAGATTGTCAGGATGAGTTACCAGGTTTCAGTAAGTCCCTGGTTTCCCTGGTGACTCTGTGTAAGGATTCATGATCTGATCTAGAGCGATCTACTTTAAAATGTGGGAAGGCATCCAAAAGGATGGATGTGGAAATCACCATTCTATCCTCAGCTCTTCCACAGCTTCCCTGTGTTACTGGGAGCTCATAGCTAGGGACTCTGAGGTGAGATTTCCTCCTCTGGAGGAGGAGGAGGGTGTTTGAGCCCTTGCAGCTTGGGGTGTGAACCTGCCACGGGCGCGGCAGCTCTCGGAGGGTGTAGGCAGGGTGCAAGTCTGTGTCTGGTGGGACTGCTCCTGTGGATAGACAGCAGCGAGAGCAAAGTCAAAGATGTCAAAAGACAGAAGAACCCTGAACAGAATGGGTTGGTCTGTGGAAATCTATATGCCTTAACCTGCAGGGCCTGGGCTCCAAGTGAGCCTTCCTGCCTGCTTCTCTTGCATGTCCAAGGCCAGCACGGGCAGTGTCTCAGTGTCCCCTGTGCCCTTTGTGTCTCCCTGTGCTCCGCTGCGCAGACGGGAAGGAGTATGATGTGTACGTGTCCTACGCGCGCAACGCGGAGGAGGAGGAGTTCGTGCTGCTGACGCTGCGGGGAGTCCTGGAGAACGAGTTTGGGTACAAGCTGTGTATCTTCGACAGAGACAGCCTCCCTGGGGGAAGTGAGTATTGCACAGGGGGCTGTGCTCCATGCATGTCCTCTCTTCATTGTTTGAGATATCAATCATTGATTGCAACAAACCTATCCAGATTATCTTTTGCTTTTTTCCCCACCATTGTGAATGAACTCTTTTGGTGTCTTCTAATGTTTTTGCTTACACGACAGTGTTGCAGATGCTCCATGCCACCAAAAAGGCTGCTGTGGGCAAGTGMTGGTGGTTGGTTGTTTCAGTTGCTCTCTCCAGGAGTGCTGTCGGGGAGTGATTGATCTGGCAGCATGGGGAACCAGACAACTGACTTTCATGCAAGCCCTCTGAGCTGCCTTAAAAATGGGATAAAGTTAAGGCTAGAAGAAAAGAGGCAGCGGAAATGTTACGCTGGATCAGCTCACAGAGGGTAATGGTGAATGCTTATGAAAACCAGGAGTGTTTGCTTCAGGAAGGAATGGAAGGTGCCAGAATCAGTGAGAGGATAATGTGCATCCCATTCATCTTCATTAATTAGGGAGTTTGTGTCTAACATGGCATACAATCAAGCTACTGTAATTAAAAGTACTTTGTTGGAGGTAGTGAGACTCGTGATGTAGTCTTTTTTCACTATTTTGAGATCAATCATACAAGGTTCTGGACATAGTGTCTGCTGCAGGGATGCAGGGAATCACCAAGAATAGAAGTTTGTGAAACTCTCCAGAAGCACAGATTCCACAGCAAGGACACAAATGTAGTCAACACACTTGATTTTCAGTGTTTTGGAGGCTGAGTTGGCTGTATGATCCTGATGCGAATTAGAAGTTCAAAGTCTGAATTTCTGCCAGTGCAAACTGTCCCACTTTGAGTTCTTGGGCTTTGGTTCAGGACCCCACTGGTGACAAAATCTGTGCTGAGAATGTCCATGGGGGTCCCTTTTGTGTAGGAACAGGACAGACAGCTGGATTCTCAGTCCAGATGCCTGATACGGGAGCAGAATCAGTCTGGGATCTGTAATCTTTCTCTCCTAGATTGTTGCCAGGATTTAGGAGCACCTTGAAGTCTGAGGGTAAATGAATATGTGTGTCTCAGTGAGACATCTGCAATCCCAGTGCCCTTCCCTCTAGAAGAGAGCCTGAATGACATGGCAGGGCACCCTCCAGGCTCAATTTGCTTGATGCCAGTGTCAGGCTTGGAGCAGGTTTGCTCTGAGCCATTCTCATTGGATGTCCATCTCCCTCCTGTTTCCTCTGCCACTTCTTGCCCTGCTTGCTTTGGAGGGTGTAATTTTGCTCCGAGCACAGCTCTCCTGGGCTCTCTGTCCTTCACCCGTACCCCCAAACGTTCCCATCCCTTCCTCCCTCAGTSACTGCCAGCCTCGAGCCAGCGCCAGCCCTGCAGATCACTGTTGGAGTGGTTTGTCACTGCTCTGCCGTCTGCGATGCTGCTGGGGCTTCCCCGGTGCTTCTTAGCCAGGATTTGACTAATCTCCTTCTCAGGAAAGCACGGCAGGCCAGGAAATAGCTTTTGGCAGCTGGTGACATGCCTCCAGAGTGTGCATCTGTGTCATGGGTAGAGAGTTATGTTGTCCTTGGTGAGGAAACAGTGGGAGATGGATTATCCCAYGAGTTAGCTGACAGGAACTAATCAAACGTGCTTGACAGCTAAATGAAGTTGTCTGTCAGCATTATTTTACTCTCCATTGTAATTTCTGACCAGTCAAGAATGTTTCCTTGTCGAGGAAGTGTAGGAGATCCAGCAGCAGAGAGTACAAGCTCCGGGATTCACACTTAGAAAAGATTTTCACATTAATTACAGGAAGGTGGCCAAGGACTGTCTACCTGCAGATGTTAGAAAATTAAAGAAGATCCACGGTTACCATGACATGTCTCCAGCTCAATGGGTGTCATTTTTGGACCCTTCACTAAAAGTCCTCGGAGTCAGTTCTAAAAATGCTCTAATCTGCTTTCATAGATGATGGCAGCAGGAACAGATGGATGAGTAACAGGAGTCAGGATGGTAGTATTACCGAAGAAAATTGTCCCATGAAGGCACTCAGGAAGAGTGTAGAAACTTATTTGTGTCTTTGGTGTGAGGAAACTGAGGCAAGAGGAGTGAAGGGAGTATCCAAAGTCATTCTGCCAGAGGAGTAGGTAAGCATAGACATTCATGCTTCCTGAAGCCTCTTCAGGGTGAGTCTTTCCCTTGAGTTCATGTGTTATTCAGCTGGCAATTTCCCTGCTTTGCTCTAGACAGCCTCTTTTTCTCCTCTCACCAGAAGAAAGCTACATCTGAGCCTGAGATCAGCAGTCCTCTTGGTCACAAGGCATCTTCATGGCACTGGGTGATGTCACTCATGTGTAGTACAGTGATTTTCAGGTTTTGCTCTCTTGGTCATCTCTGTGCACTACAGGGAGGAGGAAATGCATCTAGAGGCAATTCTGGGGCTGGGAGTAGAAGATGTCACTGTATGGGKTAGTGGGAGCCAGCCCCGGTGTAGGAGGTCTGACTGGAGTCATTTGCAGGGTTGGGAAGCACCAGTGTAGTCTAGAGAAGGCCTCCAAGGGATTTTATTGTCCCCTTCAAGAGGCACCTGGTGTCACAGCAGCAGCTCAGCCGCATTTTCTTGGGCATCACTAACCACCTCAATGTTTCTTTCTCCCAGTTGTCACAGACGAAACCCTGAGCTTCATCCAGAAAAGCCGACGTCTGCTTGTTGTCCTGAGCCCCAACTACGTCTTGCAGGGGACACAGGCCCTGCTGGAGCTCAAGGCTGGCCTAGAGAATATGGCCTCCAAGGGCAACATCAAAGTCATTCTAGTGCAGTACAAAGCCATCAAGAAGAGCAAAGTGAAGGAGCTGAAGCAGGCCAAGGCGGCCTTGAATGTCATTAAATGGAAAGGCGAGAAATCCAAGTACCCAAAGGGCAGGTTCTGGAAGCAGCTTCAGGTGGAAATGCCAGTGAAAAAATTTAGCAGGAGTTTGAGCCTTGATGGGTTGATATATATGCCTGAAAAATGTTTGACAGCATCAGAAAACAAACCGAAGCACACSCCAAAAATCCACAAGTTAGGCCAGGGTGTGAGGGGGAACTCAGGGTTTTTTCCATGAAGGACCATGTCCCAAGCATTTCAGAGGATAGTCATGTTTTCCCTGCAGCTTTGACATTGCTCTGTCAGTAGAGAGACCAAAGATGCAAACACCTCCTCTCTGCAAATGTATGTCCTTGTTATCAGCCACACAAGCCCTGGAGTTAAGGTCCAAATTTGCTATCCAGATAGGATGCATCCAGCACATCGTGATAGCATGGCCAGTATTCATAGATCCAGTTCCTATGGGACCTTTGTCAGCATCCAGAGCTTTTTTTCCTCTCCCAAGTGACTTCACTCCTTTCTGGTCCTCAGTCCCTGTTGCAGAGGCTGGGGAACAGTTTGCAAGGTGACTCCAGTATTGAGCCTTTCCTGAACGTCCCAGGTCTGCAGCCCCAATCATTTGTGGGATTCACTGCGGGAAGTGCAGATTCTTGAGGCTCCTCATCTTTGCTCCCCACATTTCCTTTGAAGCAGGTGCATGCCGGTAGCTTGGCAGTGGGAAATGGCTGTTACAAAAGCATTAAACCCCACCCCCCACAATGCTATTGGGTGCTATTTGTATTGTAGCACATCTAGTAACAGGTGGTTATTGGGACTCTGCAGTCTCACAAGTACTGCAGATCCTTCCGAGCTGTTTGTAATCCAGGGAAATCTCTCACTAGTACAGGCCATGGAGCATGTCTGAGAGAAAGTTTCTTTGTAGAGTAAACTCAGGGACTTCACAAGCACTACAAGGAACCCCAGTGTACTACTGAACCTGCCTACTGTCTCTGCCATTGGCTGTGGCAAAGCATCATGCAAGGTGCTTCCAAGGCCTCTGGGATGACACTGGATTTATGTCCAACTCACTAGGACACCCTACAAACTCTGAACTTGCTAAAAACTACTCGTTCTGTCCATCTAGGTAAGACTATGAGGACAGGCTGAGAGAGCTGGGGATGTTCTCTCTGGAGAAGGCTCCAGGGAGACCTTATTGTGGCCTTTCAGTACTTAAAGGGGGGATTATAAGAAAAGTGGGAACAGACTTTTTAGGAGGGCCTTTTGCAATGGGGTGAGGGGTAATGGTTTTAAATAAAAAGAGGGTAGATTCAGACTATATTTAAGGAAGACATCTTTTACACTGAGGATGGTAGAACACTGGCACAAGTTGCCCAGAGGTGGTGGATGCCCCATCCCTGGAGATAGTCGAGGCCAGGTTGGAGAAGGCTGTGAGCAACCTGAATATGTCCCTGCTTATTGAAGGGGGTTGGCCTTTAAAGGTTCTTCCCAACCCAAATTATTCTATGGTTCTACGAAGACTGTCTTCTCTGCCTGGCTATGAACAATGTCCCCATGTCTAACTCAGGGCTTAGGTTTAAACTAGCCCTGGCTTTATCAAGCAAGACTCCCCCCATGTTGTTTCCAGCTCAGAGYTGCAGAACAGAGGATGTATCTGAGCTTCTGCAACATTTGCACAAAATGGAAACAGAAAAACCCACTGTGCAGCTGTCCTTGCTTCAGCAGGAGAGGGTGTGGTGAGTTAACCCCATCGCACAGTTCACGCTGAGGAGCGGGGAGTTTCCCTTCCCTCCTAGGACAGACCCAAAGCACAGAAGGGTCYTGGCATTGACTGGTGCTATGGTTCACAATGGTTTCAAATAAAACTACAAGCTCTGGGGATGTCTTCTGTAGCTCCCAGGGTAAGGAGCTGCCCACTTAATTGTGGAGTTCAGTATTACACACACCAAGCGTGTGCTTATTTTTATTGATGGTGGCTGTTCCTGAGTCCCCTTTCACTCGTGTGTTCKCTCTGTTGGTGTCCAGTGGGTGAAGCATAAGCATTCATAATGGCACTATAACAGCACTACAATTTGGAATCTGTGCACTATTCACCCAGCTGAGCTGGGAGGTTTGAGGGTGTAAAAAGCCCAGCCTTAAAAATGTGGGGCTGAATCCTGATGTCAGGGAAACCTCTTGCCATTAGCATTTTATGATGAATWATGTTATTCCAGGGCTGCAGGGAGCTAGAGCTCCCCATGCCCTTGTTTAGGTACTGTATATGTTGTTTAGAAATGGTACTCCACAATTCAGTGCTCCCACTGAAACCATGTGCCTCATATTTTCCTCTTCTCCTTTCCCCTGCAAAGGGCCAGAGAGGAGAACTGGAAGCACAAAAGGTAAAGATCCCAGCTTGGGATAAGAATAATTTACTGGAAACATTAAAGCAATGAGATATCTATCTCATCTAGCAATGAGATAACAAATAGTGGCAATACTGTTGACAAAGAGTACAAGAAATGAACGATTCACATGGAAAACCCCCCAGCAATAGACCATATCCAACCATTCCCTCTGCCACATTGCACTGACCCAGAAGGGACCCTTTCTTTCCAAAAGAGACCCCCTTTTCCCCACCCCTTGCAAATATGAGGTGATATAGAGTAACTTTGCTGTCCTGGACATGCTTCCTCCTGGCTACTGCAAAAACTAACCCTGTCCTGGCTGGAACCAGGACCCTGAACAAATGTGGAACAAATAGGGCATCTTTTGTACCATACTCTTCATCCTCCCCACCCTAAGTGAGCTTTGATTTAAGCAGGTAAAATTGCAGTCCAGCTTCGCTGGAGACAGTAAAGCTCCTCACCTGCTCAGAGGTGCTTAAAAGCTTTATTATGAGCTTTCCTACTGTGGTTGTCTGTGGAGGGACAGAGCTGCTTCCCACACTCCAGAAAACTTCATTTATAAGATATGGCACCCAAAACCATGCTCAGCTTTGTGAACCCATTGCAACTGTGTCATTTTGCCCAGCTTCACCTTTTTGTTCATGTTTCAAGCGTCTCTGTAATCAGCTGCCAGATCTGCAGGCAGAGGGAAGGCCCTGAGGCCAAAGCAGAGCTCTGTTAGATTCCCATATGATTTTTAAAAAATYGACTCCAAAATACACATAAATTGAATTGGCATCCCAGACCTCACTACATCACATCTCACTTTTGGCTGAGTTTCCAAGTGAACTTCTGCTGATGTTTTTGTAAGTCCAATTATTTTAGAAAGTTAAATCCCCCTCCTGTATTTTGCTGAGTTTATTCACAGAGTTTTCCAAATAATTAATAGACCTGGACTTTCTCTGGCAAGCACTGCAGTGGCTTTTGGTGTCATTGCAACCCCAGAACAGGTTTACTGAGAGACATCAGCAGAACACGCATAAGGCAAAAGGTGTGATGGTTTGGAAGGGGCCTGGGAGAACAGAGGGAGCAGTGTGGAAGTGCTGGAGCAGGTTCCACTTGCCCAGGAGCTTTACCACAGGCTTTGCTGGGATCTTCCAGGCCAGGGATAAAGCCCAGTCCCAACTGTAAAGCAGATCTGCAAGCACCTCAGAAACACCTGTCATTTCATTCTATGCCACATGTGGTTTCCAYTGTGGGATTCTGTCACAGCATCTGTCTGAATTGGTTGATTCATTTGAGTTTCTGTGCTCTAACCTAACATTTATCAATATGCAGCTCATGCAAAGTTCCTCATTGTTATTTCATGGGAAAACAGTGTGGCACAAATAGGAAAAAATACCTTCTTTCCCCCTGCTGTTTGATGTTGTACAGCTGTTACAGAGTTTTCCCTTTTCTGTATGTTTTTGCCTTTATGTGATTTGGTCTGTGAAGTGTCAGTATTATTTTATTTTGCTTTTCAATAAAACATTTTCACTTTTGCATTTCAGTCCTTGTGCATTTCTCATAAGTACCATCTTCCCATTACGTCTGCCAAATGCTGTTAAAGAAMGATGATTGTGTGTACTCCAAGCATCAAGATCATTTGGGGCTCCTCCTTGGAAGGGGACATTTTCCTGGCTGTTTCATGCTGTGCCTTCAGGGGCACCTGAGCTTCCAGGGCCATCCAAGCAGAAACACARTGACACACAGCATTCAAATGTCTCACAGCAGTGGACATGACACACAGAAAATCTCTGATCTGAAGAGTGCTTGCTTGGCAATCACAAGACAGAAAGATGGGAAGGAAACATAATCTCTTTGCCTTAGAGATCAAATCAGAACCTTAGAAATCTGCCCARACAACAGAAATCAAACTCACTCTCAGCCTACTTTGCCCATCACCTTCTAGGTTCAATCAGCTTCATATTTTCTAATACAAGTCGTTTTTTTGCCTGTTTCCCATGTTTGCCTGGCAGCAGGTAAGTGGAGAGAGARCCCAGCATTTCCAGACCACTGGCAAAATGAATATCTGTGACAATCTATGGATTTGGGGTCTAGCAGTATGGGATCTGTGACCAYATTCCTTATAATCTCTGTTAGATCTTTGGGGTGCATTGGGGAGACACAAGTAAACCAGTAAAAATATGCAGTGTGTTTTGCAAACATTTAATGAAGMTGGAAGGTATTTTAGTATAAAGCAGATAACCAAGGGTATTGAATCCCCAAGCCCCTGCAGTGTTGCTGCTGCCTGTCCCATCCTGTGCTGTGTCACTGGGAGGGAAGATCTTACCTGCACACTGTGAAATGTCTGTTCAGGATTTTTCATGATCTGGCTAAACATTGCAAACTGAACATCARCTTGTCAGCCGAGTCTGAATGCATCCCATTCACAGAAATCAAATATATATTTGGAAATCTGAACAGTTTCCCTGCTAAAAAGAAAAAAATAGTCTCAGAAAACTGAGTCTCAAAAAAAAAATCAATCTCAAAAAGTGTTGCAAATTCAAAATTGATAAAATCAGCACTGTCACCTCAATCAAAACATTTCATTTCAGCAGCATCAGASTCATTCATGTTAATTGAACCTGGGCCATTTGAGCAGCAAGGTAGAATAGGTGACCTCCCAGAGGCTGCTCCTGCTTACATTTTGTGGTTGTTCTGTGATTCCGGTTTCAAAAAGAAAGACCTTTCGAACCAGCAAAAGCTTTTTCTTTCACAAACTGTTGAAGCCTGGCTGTTTTCAAAATAGATTTCAATCAGTTGTAGAAAAGTTTGAATGAGGTCTGGACTTGGTAAATTGGAGATTACTGCCAATTCTTTATACCTTTGAAATARGGTGGTAAAAATGTGTCATGGCAGTGACAATTCTGACAGAACTGACTATTATCTACTTTTGGTTTCAATGAATCAGTGGTTTCCTGTGTGTATTGGGGGTGAAAATCTCCCCAAACCTTGTATACAAAAAAAAAAAAAAAACAACAAACAACCCCACCTCTCAAAATAATTCGATTCTAATTCCAATATTTTGTTAACCAAACAGTGACCTACTTTCTCTATTAGGGTATTACTGTATGAGCATTTTTCCTATCTTGGTCTCCAAGTAATCTAGTGACAATGAGTTTTACAGCTAGTCATACATATTTGAAAGTATTGCTCTGTACACTATTGAAATAAGGTGCATCCAGATGCAACACAGTGCACCTTCTGCTGTGAGATAAGAGACAGCCAAGTGCTGGATGGATAAGAGGCATTGCCATTGCAGGGAAGRAGCAGTATTTTTATTCATATAAAAGACCAGTGTTCCGCTGTCAGGGAGAGAGGAAAGTCTCCAGACTGAGGAATGAAGGCTTAAGCAGTGTGAAATGGAAGGGAAGCAGCAGGTAGCTCTTCTTCCCAGAACAGCTCTTTGCAAGGTATTCCTAGAGGCAGATTTTTCTCTCTGAATATGGAAGAGCTCTTACTCTCATGATCCTTGTCCTGCTTGAACACCAACTTGTCCTTGGGTTCCCTCTCATCTCAGGGACCAGCACTCAGTAAGTGTATGGGTTTGAAAATTTTTTACAGTTTTATTACTCAGCTTTTGTTAATTAGCTGAGCACCATAGCCCTTTAATTCCCATCCTTCCCACTGCTCACCAAGACCTCCAAGATGCTTTCTGCATCCCAAACCACAKGTAGAAGTCCAAGGACATCCTTCAGGTTTGTTGCTTTTCAAAATTCATAATAAAAGAGATGCTGCTCTTGCCTGGCCCCATTCCAGCTAAGCTTCTTGCTGAGATTTACAACTTGCAATTAATGCCAGGAAATGCTTTGGAGGACAGTATTTCCACCCCCYATGATGCCTAGGGGAACTGGTGCAGGGGTTTAAGGCTGACATTTTTGCTTTTTAAATTTGGAGGTTTCCACTTAAAGACGGAAAGAACATGATGGTGTGAGATGGGTCTTAGTCCCTGCAGTTTGAGCTGTGGAAGGTGACATAATTGCTCCACTTGGGTCCCCTGATGCAAAGGGCTGCTCAAGCTGTGGGTAGGTGGCTCCCAAACAAGACCTGCCCTTTGTCAAATGCCTGCACTTTCCTGGGCCACAGGAATGATGCTGTGCCAGGCAGAAGT